ACTGCCTCTTGGGCAGTTTGAGACCATCTTGGGCCGGCCGCCTTGGAGCCATCTTGAGCCGTCTTGAACGTACGGTTGAAGGAAAAAACTTTGCATCAACAACGCTCCGACGACAAAGAACCGAATTCCCTCCCTCCACCCCCCGGCCTTCATGCTGGAATGCGTTGCGATCGAGATCTTGGGTTCTATTTTTCTGGCCGCTCGTCTCCAGGACCAACTGCTCAATATTGAGGCCCGCGGGGTGCGGGGGGGTGTATTCAAAGCGGCCACCCCAAATTCTTGATGCCAAGTTTTTTCCCTCAGTGGTATGCTGGGCCATGTTGGTGGCATTGGTGGCCCGCCGCGGCCGTCTTGGAAGCAACGTCGAGCATCTTGGACGCCCCAGAGAGCGCCAGGCGGGCGTCGGGCCGCCCATGGGGTGCCCGGGAGGGAGGGGCGGTGCATGTGGAAGTCCGCTGCGAGGGGCTGTTACCACCATTAAGTCGGGCCCGTCCCGCTACAGGAGGAATATTTCAAAAAACATGATCGACCCACGAACCTGCAAAGGAACAAAGAAATGTCAGGCATGGCAACGTTTCAAAGACACCTGAGTGGGCGACGGGCAAATGCAATGCTGAGTGTATCGACCTTGATGTACTGTGCCGAGGGCTGTGCTGTGCTACGCCGTGCTGAACTGCGATGTGCCATGATGTGCCATGCCGCGATTGTGCTCTATATAGCGTTGTGGATCGAGTCCTCCTTGGCATCCGAGTCCTGACCGAACTGATCTGAACCTTAAGCTCGAGCTGCCTGAGCAGATGGTAGCTGCCCCAGAACTAATCGACAGCGGGGACATGCAAGGAGGACGCGCCGCGGAACGTCCCAAGGGACGCGCCAGGCAACGTGCCAGGGGACATGCCATGGGCGCGCACCGCGGGACGTGCCAAGGTGACGCGCTACGGAACGTGCCAATGGACGCACCGCGAGACGTGCCAGGGGACGCGCCGCGCGACGTGCCAGGGGGACTCGCCACGGAACACGCCAAGGAACGTGCCAAGGTGCAATGTTGAGTGTATCGATCTTGATGTACCGCGCCCACGGCTGTGCTGTGCTGGGCCGCGCTGAACTGCGATGTGCCATGCCGCGATTGTGCTCTATATAGCGTTGTGGATCGAGTCCTCTTTGCATCCGAGTCCTGACCGAACTGATCTGGATCTTAAGCTCGAGCTGCCTGAGCAGATGGTAGCTGCCCCAGAACTAATCGACAGGGGGACATGCCAAGAGGACGCGTCGCGGAACGTCCCAAGGGACGCGCCAGGCGACGTGCCCAGGGACGTGCCATGGGCACACACCGCTGGACGTGCCAAGGGGACGCGCTACGGAACGTGCCAATGGACGTGCACCGCGCGACGTGCCACGGGTGACTCGCCACGGGACACTCCGCGGAACGTACCGAGCAACATGCCAGGCTGCAATGCTAAGGGTATCGATGTTGATGTACCGTGCCGAGGGCTGTGCTGTGCCCGGGCGACCTGGACACGTGAAAACACGCGTTTCGCTCAAGACGTTCTCAGCACATCCTCATGCTGGACATCCGCCTGGGCAACCTGGACACGTGCAAACAAGCGTCTCGATCGAGACTTCCTCGACACATCCTCATGCTAGGCATCAGCCTGGCCGACCTGGACACGTGAAAACAAGCCTCTGGTTCAAGACATCCCCAACAAATCCTCATGCTAGACATCTGTCTGGGCAACCTGGAGGCGTGAAACCAAGCGTCTCGCTCGAGACATCCTCAAGACCTGGGCACCTTAAAACAAGCATTTCACTTGAGAGATCCTCTGAATTCAGGTCCCCCGGAGAGGACAATCTATAACACAAAACAAGCGTTCCGCTCGAGGCATCCTCAACAAATTCTGAAAAACAACCGTTTCGCTAGGGATATCCTCAAATTTCAGTTCGCCGGCCCACCTCGACCTCGATATTGATCGCAAAAGAATTCGCCGGCCCACCTCAAGTCAAACCCAGAGGTAAACCAACTAAAAGAAATTTCTGGGCTTATGCCCTTTCTGGGAAATAGAAAAATAGTTTGGGACGATGTTTGGAGTATGTTTTTTCCCCCAATCAGAGCTTGCCTCTGTAGGGGTCCTAGCGGATTAAAGGGTTAGGTGAGGTTCGTCGCCGATTTCGGTGGCCGGGCCCGGGTGCCAGGGTGGCCGGGTGCCCGGCGGTGCCCGGGTGCGCGGGTGGCCGGTGAGGTTCGTCGCCGATTTCGGTGGCCGGGCCCGGGTGCCCCGGGGTGCCGAATATCCCAATAGGTAGCCCTATAGCCCTATAGCCTTATAGCCGTATAGCCCTATAGCCCTGAAGCCCTGTAGCCTTATATCCTTATAGCCCTAATAGCCTTATATCCCTATAGCCCCAGAGCACATATAGCTCTATAGCCCCATAGCCCTATAGCCCTATGGCCCTATAGGTCACAGTCCTATAGCCCGATAGCCAGATAGCCCTACGGCCCGATAGCCCTATAGCTCTATAGCCCGATTGCAAAGGGAGCAATTGGAATAAAACATCTTATTGGGGCTTTTCTCCGGTATCATGATCACTGTTGAGTAATATTTTGTTAGTGCGTGCACGGGAATGATGTGAAAGGTTTTTGGGTGTCGTGTCCAGGCTTGTCCCCCTCGCGTTGCACTCCGCAACCGATTGGGCTCAAGAATCAAAAGGCAGGGCTTCTCTCTCGATGGCAATCAGCCGTCCCAGGCGGCAGTCCTCGCCTGGGCCGCGGTGATAGCCCCCTCGCTCTCCAGCTGGCTGGCTGCCATAGCTGCCGGGCGCCCCGCGCCGGCGGGCCCTGGCCTTGTGAGGCCTATCGAGTGGTTCTGGGAGCCTCCGCCCTGGGCCTGGTCGTGCTCCTGTACCTGTCCCTCCTCGGCGGTGCCCGAGCCGCCCCCGCCCCCGTCGCCGGGACCACTGGGGCCGCGGTCGCCGCACGAGGCCGAGGTGCACGACGTGCCCTGGCCCATCGCGGTCGGCTTCTCCGACCCGTGGGAGGTCGGGCTGCTCACTTGCTTCGGGTTCGGCATCTTCGAGGTCGTGTTTGTGTTGTACTGGTGTCGGCACGGCGTTCGAACCGAACTTCCTCTGCGGCGTGTGATACATAATGGAGGTCGACTGGGTGCCGGGGACGCAGTTGCTCGTGTCGTTCGTCACTGACCTTGGGTTCAGGCACGAGCGCATCACCGTCTGGCCTTGTCATGAGGGTTCGTGGAACATACACGCTAAAGGGGGTCATTTATATGTGGAGGAGGAGAAAGACGGGGAGAAGGTGTACCTCATGGTAGCTGGGCAGCTGCCGGGGTCGTTGCCGGCAGACGGTGCCACGCTGGTGCAGTTCAAGAAGTTCCCGACGGATGACGAGCTGAGGGGGCTCATCGTAGAAGCGCGCGCGGAGGTGACGGCACTGCGGGCGGCTGATCCCGACCGCCCTGTGCCTGCCGACCCTCTCTACTTCCGCTCCGAGGATGGTCGGCGCTACCCGCTTGCGCGCCACCGCCTGCAGGGCAAGCAGGTCGGCCGCGCGAGTCCACTGGCCGACGGTGTGGCCGCCGAAGGGGCCACCGGGGCGGCCCCGCCGCTGGCGGGCGACCCCGATGACGCGGGCGCCCAGAAGGCTGGAGACCCGGACGTGGAGGAGCAACCGCATCGCTGGGTCGTCAGCGAGCCGGGCGTCGTCTGGGAGCTGGGTACGCCGGTGGCGCACGGTCAGGTGAAGGCGAAGCTGGGTGATCGGGGCGTGGCTGACGTGAACGGGGAGACCGTCCCAGTGCAGCTCGTGCCCGAGGCGGAGGTCGGCGACTAGGCGTCCATGAAAGCCTCCGCCTTCGAGCTTGCGATCCGCGATACCAGCGTTGCGCCCACCGACTTCGGCCGCCGCGTTGGCATCGCGCCGACCGAGGAGTGTGGCACGGCGACGCCGCTGGCTGCCGCCTCCGAGGCGGGTGGAGAGCCGGGCGACGCCCGCGCGCTCTGGGTGGACACTGACGCTCAAGGCACTCGGTTCAAGACATTGCGTAACGTGGTGATCGAGAGCTACCCCACCGCGTGGACAGACAGCCCCGTCGAAGGCCCGCCCAGCCTGATGTACATCCTCAGGCGCGCCGATCGCCTCGGAGGCAACATCAGGATGTGGCTCGACATCTGGGCTCGCTCGAAGAACATTGGGCTGGGCGGGCGCGTGTTCCACGAGCTGTCCGTTCTCTGCGAGGTCATTTACGTCGGGGGCACGTACGATCAGCTCAACATGCCCTCGCTGGTGAGCTTCGAGGTTATCGCGCGTCGCATCCAGAGCATTGTGGACGCCTACTCGGGCGATCCTTCTCGGCCCCAGTGGGCCAACACGAGGCTGCACTCCGGCGTGGGCTCGGCGGTGGACATGGCGGCGCCCGAGCACAAGCGCCACGTTGCCAAGAGGGCCAAGGACGAGGCCGAGGTCGAGTCCACGCGCGCGCGGGCACGCAACCTGCCCGTGGCCGCCGATGCCATCGCTGTTGGTGGTCTTCCTGCTGCTGCACGCGGCGCTCCTGTCGCCGCCGCGGCGGGGACCCAATGAGAGACATGACCCTCGGCGGTGGGACTGGCCCCCCTGCTGCCGTTCGCCTTCCTGGGCCTGCACGCGGATCCGCGGCCGGCGGCAATGTGCGCGCTCGCTTAATTGGTTGCGGGGTGCTGAACATCGAGAACTCGGTGGCCGTGCGCAGTGTGACGTTCACCTATACCGTCGTCAACTTCAACAGGAGGTGCTGGTGCGAATCGCCCAGGGGGGCCAAACCTACTCAGACCCGCCCTCCGACCTCTCTCCGAAGGAGGCCTTCCAGGGGCCACTTCGAGGCCGCGGGGTCTACGACGCCGAGACGGCCTACACTACCCTGGCACCTTACCAACGGGGCGCAGTCTCTCTCCCCCATGACGTCTCTACGGCCCCAGCCGTAGGATCTTAGGTCACAGGGCGCGCCCTCGAGTATCTGGTAGAGGCAGAGGAGCAGATGATCAGGACCGATGCTGAGGTTCAGCTTGACCGAGAGAGAAATGGTGAAATCAAGATCTACACCGACCCGCTGCTCGCCAACAGTCGCCGCCGGTGCTCCACGTTCGTGAAGGATCTGAGGCGTAAAGGGTTGGTGGGCTTCACTCGCGAACCCAAGGAGTTCGCGGGTGTATTCTTCGCGTGGAAGAAGGAGCGCGCCTCCACGAGGATGGTGCTGGACTGTCGCCGTTCAAACCAGCGATTTGTTACTCCTCCAGGCGTCGAGCTGCTGCCCACTGAGGGACTGGGTCGGATCGAGTGCGACGCCGAGCAAACCAGCACGTCACCCATCTTCTTGGGCAAAGCGGACGTGAAGGACTGCTTCCACCGCATGATGTTCGGCAATGACCTGCCGAAGTATTTCTGCTACCCGGGCGGGATGGCCAAGGAGTTCGGCATCGTCGGCCAGCTCGTGGACGGGGTGCCGGCGCGTGCGGACGACTACCTCTGGCCGCGTGCTCTCGCGCTACCCATGGAGTGGACGTGGTCGCTATACTTTGCTCAAGTCGCCAACCTGGGCATGGTGGAGCGGGCGCCCGCTATTGCGTCGAGCCAGGTGGCCACCGACCGCGGGCCCCCCATCGCGTTGGCTCCCTCGTCTTCCTGGCACTACGTCTACGTGGACAACGTGGGGCTTATCGCGCTGGATGCCGCCGACTACGTCAAGGGGGCGCTGGCGGACACCACCAAGGCCTTCGACACCGCGGGCCTCATCATGCATGACATCTCGGTGGACTGCGAGACCGCCGAGGCGTTGGGCGTGACCCTGGACGGCCAGAAGCACCAGACCCTCGTCACCCACCGTCGCTATTGGAAGGTCCGGCTCGGACTCCGATGGGCCCTCTCCCTGCGCCGATTGGCAGGAAGGGAGCTCGAAGTTTTGCTCGGCCACTGCGCGTTCGTCGGCCTCATGAGACGCTGTCCGTGTGGCACACCGTGTACACTTGCATCCGCGAGCGGTACTGGGCCAAGAGCGACGTGTGGGACTCTGCGCGCCAGGAGGTCGAGTGTTTCTTCGGGCTGATGCCGCTTCTGCGTTCGGAGTGGGACCGGCCGTGGCTTGCGCAAGTACTGTCTGTGGACGCCAGCCCGCGCGGCCGGGGCGTCGCTAGCTCCGAGTTCGGGGTGTCGACAGCAAAAAGGTAGGGAAGGATGCTCGAGAGGTCTCGTTTCCGTCGTCTTGGAGGGGTACCTGCTCGCGCCAGTGCCCTGGCCGCTGCCGGCTTCGCATACTCGGCCACGGCTGATCGTTGGGAGGTCGACGACGGGAAGGAGCGGGACCTTTCGGACGTTCGGGGGGCTGGGGCCTGGGAGATGCGCGAGGATTTCCCTGAGATCCCCAGGGCCCTCCTTCACGGGGATCGGTGGCGCTTGATTTTGCATGGCAAGTGGGCCTACTCCGAGGATATCCTGATTCTTGAGGCCCGCGTCCTGGTCAAAGCTGTCGCAAGAGTTTGTCATTCTGTCCCTGGTGGATTTTGCAGAGTATTGTTATGGCGAGATAATACGTCTTCTAGCACGTGGAAGATTCTGGGCCCGCAGCTTCGGGCTCTTGGTGCAGATTCGACGTATCGCGGCCTACGCACTGGCCCGTGGGGTCCGATTTGGATTCCAATGGCACCCTTCAGAGCTGAACAGTGGCGACGCTGGGTCCCGTATCTACGACCGCAACTACGACGCCTCGAAGGATCTCACCCGCCTGGTGGCTGGCGGACACGGACCCGAGGGCGTCCTGCCTCAGCCTGCAGATCGACCTGGACCCGAAGGCGTACCGGCTCAAGCGCCCACGCCCTGGGATACAACCAGCCCTTCCACATGTCTCGTATCTCACGACTGCTCTGAAGCGGACCCTCACTCTGGTGGCGCCGCATCTCACCCTTGCCAAGGAGAAGTGCCGGCGCCCTGCCGAGAGCGAGTCCGAGTCCGACTTCGTGTCTGCCTGCAGCAATTTCGGGATCCACGACGAGGCGAACCCGCAGCCGGCCAGAGATACCCTTCAAGCTGGTGGCCAGCAAGACCCCGCTCTCGAAGGAGTCTCTGGAAACCCAGGCGGACAAGGGGGCCGCCTGGGCTACGGCAGCCGTCGCGGTCGCTGCCACCGCCGCGGCCGCCGACGCGGTCAGCGATGGCACTACTACGGCCGACGAAGTGGGGCAGGGGGCGAACGATCGGTCCAGCCAGCAGCGGGTTCGAACTTGGCACGCCGATCGACTGGCTCGCAAGTATACTCAGCCGGCCGAGACCCTTCCGCTGCAGTCGTCCGAGCCAGAGGAGACGGCCGTGTCGGTTCGGACGCAGCACCAGTACATCATGGAGTTCAAGGGGTTCATGGGCATCGGCTTGGAGGTTGCAAGGCGCGGGCTGCTGGCGATGGCGCCGGCGGTCATGATCGGCGCCAGCTGCTACCTCAGGCCCCCGGAGCCGCTCAACCTCGCGTCGGAGAACTTAGTGGCGACCGCAGCGCCTGCGTCGCAGTACTGGAGCCCCTTTTCGCATCCTTTGGAGGGGGGCGAGAGGAAGACCACGGGGGACGCGCACGACTCGCTGACGAACGACTCGCCGCACATGTTGCCGTGGGTCGACGAGTCCTTCCTGGCCTTGAAGGAGAAGGGCGGCCGGCTGTGGCCATTCGACTAGCCGAACTTCTTGGCGAAAATCACAACCGCAACGAAAGTGCTCAGCATGCCCTTCTTGGTACCCCACCAGATAAGGCACTCAGGCCCGTCGATCGACCGCCTGATGCCAAACCGCAGCCTGGAGGAACGTCAGAAGAGGGGGCAGGTGGAATAACTGGGAAAGCCTGGGTCGATACGAGAAGAGCGCTCGTCTCAGCAGCTTCTGGAACGTACTCCCCGTGGGGATGCTGGTGCACATGCGGGCAGGCAAAGAACAACTCGTCGAGTCCCGCTGGCCCCCCGAGCTTGTCCCAAGGCCACCTCTCGCCCGCGGCTCGCCAAAGATGGGACCTACATGGCTGACCTTTTCTCTGGCGCGGGCAAGGTGGCGCGAGCGGTCGTTCGCCTGGGGATTTCAGCCAAAGCTTGGGACATCATCCATGGTGCCAACCATGACCTTACAGACCCCACCGTGATTCGCCTGTTACTTCCCGACATCCGTGACGGCAAGATCTCCGCCGCCATGATCGCACTCCCCTGTGCCTCGCTGACTATTGCACGTGACAGGACCTTCCAGATTCGGTCTCGCAGCGAACCGCGGGGTACTGACCTCACCAATGCTACCGATCGAGATCGGGCTTCACTCGAGACGGGCAACAGGATTATTCGCGCTGTACTTCGCATTCTAAAACATCTCAATCGTTATAAGTTTCCGTGGGTACTTGAGAACCCTTCAACGTCACGGCTGTGGTTTATTCCCGAAGTCCTTGCTCTCTGTAACCAAGCCCGCGCTGAATGGATACTCGCAGATTTCTGCCAGTGGGGGACTCCGTGGCGAAAAAGAGCTTGGCTAGTTTGTGGCAACATGTACCAAGACGACACGGTATCCCTGAGCAGAGTCTGCAGTGGGAAGGCGGGCGTGTGCTCTCGCACCCTCCGCCGTCACATTGAACTGAGCGGCCGCAATGAACGCAATGTTCTCTGGACTTCCATAGCTCAGCCTTATCCGTCTCGCCTGGCCACTGCCTCTCTCGTTGGTAATAAGCACGCTTCTTGTTCTTTCAATTCTGGCAGCCCCGTCCGTGCCGGGGCCCAGTGAGCCTCAAGTCTTGGGCGCTTTCGTTTCCTTTCCTCTCTTCCCCTCCTTCGCCCCTTGCGAATCCTTTTCAATTCGGGATGTTTGGAATGTTCAGGATGTGTGTTCCAACGATCTCACACGGTCCCAGCTGCGCGCGTAACCCTGTCAGATAGTAGCAGATCTTCTCCGCTGGAAAAGCACGGTCACATTATGTTAGTGCGTGCGCGGGAATGATGTGAAAGGTTTTTGGGTGTCGTGTCCAGGCTTGCCCCCCTCGCGTTGCACTCCGCAACCGATTGGGCTCAAGCATCAAAAGGCACCCTCCCTTTCGAACTGTCCGTTCTCCCACCCCTCTTTTTAAATACCTACTCTGCAGAATGTTCAGGACGTGTGGTTCCAACGATCTCACACGGCCCCAGCTGTGCGTGTAACCCTGTCAGATAGTAGCAGATCTTCTCCGCTGGAAAAAACACAGTCACATTATGGATATGTTTTATTTTTCGTCGAAAATCCGTCCGTAGGGGGACATGCCCGACCTTATAGTATAACCCTCGTCAAAATTGACCTCAAAAATGTCTTACGCGGCTGCGCCAGAGGTGACTGCGAGGTACTTGTATGCGCCGCCCCTCCAATGCCGGTCATCATCGAACTTCCGAGTCGTTCCCAGTCAGACCACTTTTGCTCTGGCCCTGGCATTGGAGGGGCGTCGTATCGACATTGAAGGGCGCGCCGACATCGCAGGGGCGTGCTCGCCATGTTTGAGGTTAATTTTGACGATGGTAGCAGATAGCACCTGGCACTCTACCACGCCTCAACGTGCCAGGGGGCACGGTGGCGGATTTTGACCGATGGCGCTAGGGAACGACTGCTTCCATTTTGACGGCGCCACGCGCCGAGCGATACTCAGCAATGACAGCATTCGCTCCTGGGCCCTGCCACTTTGCGGGCAGCATTCGTGCGTGAACAGCTCGCCGTAGTCGTTAATTTGGGGCTTTGGGGGACGTGAGAGGTCCGCGCCTCCTCCTAGGGAGCGCCCATGAAGAGCGAATGATCATCTCGAACCATAGAGCGAGTATGTATTTGCTCGCGCTCAGACCGTCACATTTGTCGTCGCCCGCCCCCGCTGAGCAGACCCAGCTCGTCCAACCGAATTAGAAGCCTTCCAGTGCCAGCACTGTTCTGGTGAACTACGGGGTGCAGGGCACGGTAGGTGATCCCTTCGCCCAGGTGGCCCACCGTCACGCGACGATGATCTCGGTGCACGCCTCGTGGTTTGGGACGCACGGGTGTCTTTCTCCAGGGGGCCAGGCCGCGCGAGGGCTTGGATACAAGCGCGAAGTCAGGCGAACTGCAGTCAGGCGAGTGTTCTTGCTAGTGAGATGTTTGATTACATGCTGACACACACGCACGCACGCACGCACGCACGCACGCACGCACGCACGCGCGCGCGCACGCACGCACGCACGCACACACACACACACACAAACGTATACACGCACACACTTATTTTTGGCGTCGCGGCCGTGCACGCAGAGACGGGGCGGAGAAGGTCTAAAAGCAGGAAGCGTGTGGAAACTGCGCGCGCACGCACGCACGCTGTTGGCGCCGCGGCCACGCGCGCAGCGGCGCGGCGAAGCGAAGGGCGGGCGGAGCGAGACGCACGCGCGCGGGGTGGCCCAGAGCACACGGCGTGGAGATAGTGGATCCATCCGAAGGGGATCTCCAACACCACTCGCGAGGGCACAGTCGCGAAGGGGGCAGCGGGGGAGAAGGGGAGGGGAGACACGCACGCGCACACGCGCACACGCGCGCACGCGCACGAACCGGCATACGCGCACACACACATACACTTTTTGGTTGGCGGCGCAAACGAACTTCAGGCGCGGGCAGCAGGTGACAGTGTTAATTTCAGACGGGCTTAGCCAAAAGAACAGAAATGCAAGGGGTCACGCGCTGTAAGATGCAAAACATGAGTGGTGCAGTATGCGACTCTAACACCAAATTCGCGCAGCGGCCTGAATCCGAGGAGTACACAAAACGAACTCGACTCAAGGCGAACTGAAGCGCGAGCAGTCTGGTGCAAATTAGGATCAAGCATCACCGACAGACGATGACCCAAAAAGCGTGCAGCGGCCAGAACCCGAGGAGCGCGATAGCTCGACTCGAGGACCTGAAACGTCCGTACAAATGTCAAACTGCAAAGCTACCCGTCCAGCCGATTGGCGGGGCAACGCTGAGCAAGGCCAGACGGGACGCGGGTATATTGCTACCCTACGAACCAGCGACTCTAAGCACACGGGGTGAGTGCGGCACCGCGGCAGCGCCACAACAGCGGACCCGACGCAAAGGCTGCCAGACCAGCCAGCTAGTGGCGGCGTAAAAACGCAGGCAGCTGCGCGACAAAGCGACGTCACTGGCAATGCATTAGCACGAACTGTATGAACGAACGTGCAACAGAACGTAACAGGTCGGCGTGACAAAGATGATCACGTGGCCGGGCCGACTTAGCCTCGGACAACAAATGACGGGGCTGAACGCGGGCGACCGCGAGCAGCAACCGTTTCACGCGGCGGCGCACATTGGTGGTGGACAAGCGCGACCATGGCCACGGGTGGTGGACAGGCGCTAGCATGGCCAGCGTGCAGCGCAGGCGCCAGTCGCACCACATCGATCAAAGGTGACGGAGAACGCCAACCCATAAATGCCGGCAGTCAAGCTGCCATACAGCTAAAGCCAGCAAAGATGCGAACTGCAGCCCCAGCAAAGATGCGAACATGCCGCGGTCATGCCAGCCCGCACACGATACTAAGGCGCAAGCAGCAAGGCGGCAAGGCCTCCGCCAGACAAGCTGCCAGACGGAAAAAGGCGCCGACCACGGGCGGCGCCCGTGGAAATTGCCACGCGCACCATTGGGGGCGCAAGAACGCCAGTGCCCCGGCCAGCACGCGCGGCGAAAAGCACCGCTAAGCCGAGCCCCCGAGATACCTTGGAGAGACAAACAGCCAGGCAACCAAAAGCCTTCCCGCCTGAGGCAGTAAGGAGGTGCAGAAATTAGCTAAAAACAAGGCAGGATGGCTCGGCACTAGACCAGAAACTGACCAAAAGATGAAGCAAAAACTTGCCAAAAGAGGGCCGAAAGAGGGCGGGATGGCCAGAAACTGGCCACAGAAAGCTACCCCAGGACGAGACCTGGGGAGCACGCCAACAAGAGGAGTGGGCCGCGGCCAAGCCGGCCCACACCCCGTACCCGTGCACAGGCACTAGGCGGCAAAGCTGCCGCCAGGTTCGAAGACCGACGGAAAAAGAGCGCTACAACACGTGAGTGGAGCACAAGAATCCAGTAGAGGACAAAAACATTGGCGGTGTAGGCAAGGCAAGACAGAGCCGAGCTCCAAGAAGACAGCCCCCGGGCACAGACCAGCCGGGCAACCAGAAGTTCCTCACCGCCACAGGGGTAATTAAGGCGACGAGACACAAATATGGTAAGGCCCGCCAACAGTTCCGCGGGACAAGCCACGCGCAACTGAAGGCCGCGAAGAGAAAGCCCACAACATCGCCGGCCACCGCGCGGCGTGGGGGCAAGTGCAGAGAGCGACGAGCGGCAATGAGCGACGCGAAAAGGCTCCAGCAAGGGCATGCAGCGGCGCGCAGGGAAGAAGGTAGAGGGGAAACAAGGACCGGGCTGAGCAAGGGGAGCACCCCCGCCAGCAGCACCGCACGAACCACGGGCACGGGTAGCCCTTAGTTCATTCATTCAATCGCTTCGCTCACTCCGGCGGCCCATTTTTGGGCACAGTTGCGTCGACTGGCCGAGTGGTCGTTGGCGGTGTTGAGCTGCAGGGGCGTCGGCTGTTTTCTGAGGCGTTGCGTGGGGCATGATGCTGGGACCTCGTCAGGGCCGTTTGGGGCTTCGTGGGAGCCTGCTGGCGGTCTCGGAGGGGCCCCTGGGGTCGGAAAGCTTCAAATGTCATTTCGAGTTCCCTTTTGGGCCGTCTTGGAGCCCTCTTGGGCCCTCTGGCGCGCATCTTGGGGGCATGTTGGGCCATCTTGGGGCGATCCTGGGGGGCTCTGGGGCAGTCTTGGACGCTGTGAACCTCCGAACGTCGTCTATGCCAGAAACGCACGTTTTCCTAAAGAAATGAAACGATGTTTGCTTGTTGGGACCCTCTTGGAGGGCCTCTTGAGGCTCTCTTGGAGCTTCTCGGCGGCGTCTAGGGCCGTCTGGGGACCAGCATGGGCGTCTTGGAGCAATCTTTCGGCGACTCGAGGCCGCTTGGATGGGCGCATCTTGGGGGCATGTTGGGCCATTTTGGGGCGATCTTGGGGGACTCTTGGGCAGTCTTGGACGCTGTGAACCTCCGAGCGTCGTCTATGCCAGAAATGCACGCTTTCCTAAAGAAATGAGACGATTTGTTCTTTGTTGGGGCCCTCCTGGAGGGCCTCTTGGGGCTCTCTTGGAGCTTCTCGGCGGCGTATAGGGCCGTCTGGGGACCAGCATGGGCGTCTTGGAGCAATCTTTCGGCGACTCGGGGCCCCTTGGA